ATTGATCCGGCAGCCATTTATGAAAGTGGTCTATTTAGAGCGGAGCGGCGAGACTCGTAATGAACATCGACAAGCATTCCCATGTCACACTAGCACTTTATTATCTTCTCTGGCTGTCAGTACGCGCTCGTATTCATTTTGATATATTAGTCTTAGTTTTTAAAGCAATTAATGGATTAGTGCCAATGTTTATTAGTGATTTAATTGGTGTTAGGCCGAAGTCCTCCTACAATATTAATCTTAGAAAATGGAATCTACGCCTGGTGCTAGATCCTTTATGCCGCTGTACTATGTTTGAGGAATAGTTTGCACGCAATTGTAAGTTATCCCATCATTTAAAACTTTAAACGCAATCTTAAAAACTACCTCTTTGGTCAGGTATTACTTTAATCGCTTGAGACAAAAATTCTGTTTTCTTTAAGTTTTTATACATACTATTAATCCTTTTTTTTTTATTTTATTGTAAGTCTCATTTACATTTTACATTGAATACTTACATTACTGTAGAATAGTTTTTTAGGTGTATCATTGTGAAAGCGCTTCTGATTACCTCTATTTAAAGAGCGCCATAGAAATACCCAAATTATTATCATTTTCTGCGCCCTTTATTAGAGCCCATTAAAGACGTCCATCCGTGCACGTGAAATCACTGCGTATGACTTTGGAATTTGAAATATCCCTGCTAATATTGATGGCCATGAAACGTGACCGAGTATACAACTAATTTAGCACTGGTACGAACGTTTTAGGAACTCTGCAAATTATTTTTTCGCCAAAATAAACTAAACTTTAATCTAGCCAAACACTTTGTTGTGAAGAAGAATCTGACAGCAAGGTGTTGATTTTAGCGGAAACATTGTTGCATTATGGCTTAACTTTCATCAGCATGTCGGGGTCTAAGTGATTTCAAGTGATTCGAGCGTGTTATCATGCACTCACACTCCAACAGACCGCGAAGGCTAAGCAATTAAACTGAAATATTAATGCGAAAATCAATACTATCTCGTCAAATTTCTTCACGTATGATGCCTTGGGAAAGTGGAATAATTTGCTTCTGCATACTTCATTGGTGTCTTTGGTTTTTAACTTAACGAAGAAAATGTTTCCGGTTATTGTTTTGTAACCCCATAACAGATATTAAAAATACAACGTCGACGTTTATGAGACAAAGAGCATTATATGAATGTCAATGAATCCATGTGCTATTGTTAGATTTCATTGTAATGTTTTGCCAACACTTCCACCGGTTCATGATAAGGGATTTGATATTACAACTCAGTAGAATGGTTTAAAGAGGAATGTATCGTAAACGTTATGACATGGATTGGCGGATTTACTTCGTTCTGAATCTTAAAAGTATTTATAAGTAAGTTTTGGATAAAAGAAAGTAAGGATGGTAAAGTATTGAGTCTATTTAAGCGAAAATGAACACGGTAGTAACTGAGAAACCGTGACAAAAACATTTCGTGAAAATTCCAATAAAATTCTACTTTGGGAAAAATAAGGACTGTGTTTATCAGAAAAGGGGATAGAAATATACTGTTTTTGACGTATGTTCCTTTCCTTTGTTTGGTCAAATCACAAACACGATTGTGACTGAAATGTGTCATATATCGAGAGAAAGAATAATCAAGTGTAATTACTCACCGACAGTGGCATAAATGCATAAATGCATACCGCAAGGAAAATAACGGTTAACATCCTAACATTTAAATCCCCGGTAAATTCAAGTGCTCTAAGTTGCTGCTAAAACTACTGTGTTTTAACAACCAGCTCAGTCCTTCAATAAAATTTAAGGTAGTTATCGGTGGTGTGCTATTTCGTGCCGGGCTATCGTGAAAATACGAGGACTTCTGTTGCACGTGAGTATTTTTGAAAGAACTGAATGCTGGGATAGGGGAAATCCGTGCCAAAGTTTTCGATATTTCATATTCATTTCGGTGGATTTGGTTGAGTGTTGGCAGAAAGTCGCGAGTCACGCAAGAGAGAATACATTTTATAATACATTTTAAAATAAGTCTTTTATGCAAAGTCTTAATTTTTTCGCAGTTCGACAAAGACATAAACTAATAACCTCAAAACCTGATATCGTTTAGATTGATTATGCAAAACTTATTACAAGAATAGAATCCGACATTGCATGCTTTCAACTCATCAAATTGTGTTTAGCTAAACAATGAACCCTCTAATTCTAGAATCAATTTGAATTTTTCTAGAACAAATTATATCTATTCAATGAACCAAACAGAAAATTACAAAGAAACCTCCTTTGTCCATTGCCGTCAATCAGTGTGGACACTGCAGAATCAGTGAAAAATTGCATCAAGAATGGATCTGTGGTTTCGTCAAATGATGGGTCCAAATGCTTGCACTCGGACCACAAAATCATCACTTTCCAATCTCATTTCGAGTTTTATTCTTCAAAATTTTTATAGAGCAACTCTCATGAAGTTCTTTCGTATCAAAACTGTGGGTCAGTGACAATAGGTACATGCAATATTTAAATGAATGGAAATGACTGTTGAGGCCCACTTCCTGACGAAGCTGCATTAAATACACTTAATCCTATTTTTAACCTCAAGAATAATGCTAAACGCGTCCTTTTTGAGCTGATTGATTTTGACGCATCCCTTTAACTTTCCCTCTTAGTGTCAGATTTAAGTAGACAGATTAACTAATCTTGTAACTTTTTAAGACGAACTGGATAAACAGAAGAGATATGCATGAAAAATGTTTATCGTCGCAGTTGTGATAAGCTATTGAATTGTTTAGTAATTGTTTGTCTGGGAGCCTCGATGGATTTTATAGACGAACCGTTCAGTGTTAAAGCAAAAACACCTGGACTGGTGAGTTACTAAGTTGACAGAGTAATGTCGTCGGCCGGAATTTGCCATGCCGCATAGGCGGAAGTTGTTCACAAATTATTTCCTCTCTGACTGGCTTGAACAGATTAGGCCGGCATTACATAGGTAACTAGTTCCAATCTTTATTTTTGTTCTGAATAGCTGTATAAGTGGTTCTCCTGATTTGGTTCTTAGTCAATGAAGCGATCGTAGCCTGGTGAGTTTATGTTTGAGGTTGTTAACACATTAAAGTGATCAAAACAAACTGACACCTGATAATTGACAATTACTTAGAACGCTTTTGAACAGATTGCTTTCAATTAAATTGCCCCGTAACCTGATTTACATTTCAGCGGAAGGATTTGTTTACATTCTCGGTGAAAAGATTATAAGCTCTGTCGGCGGAACAGCTTTCAGGGCGAAATATGTTTTTCAAAAGCAAACATATCGAGTTATTTAAGTCTTTTAATCCCTGTGGTAATATTCTTTGTTGTGTTGCGCTAACACAGAGTTGTGTTGCGCTAACACAAAGATATCGCCACTAATGAAATCGGATGAAATGAGGGAGTTTTTAAGAGTGGGATGCATGAAGCTAGCATACCCATCGCGTCAAAAAAAGTTCAAATCATCGAAAGCAAGTGATCTGTTAGCAGAAATCTTTAGTCGGAAATTTAACCTGGACTCAACAAAGCCGTTTGTCATCGCCGATCGGAGGGCAGACTGTGTGTTCCAAATACGATAAAATGATAAAACTTTGATAACGTTTGTTTAACCTCGTAGCTGATTAACGGTCATCGATTGCCCCTGATCTGTGTGAAACTCGTCAGCACTCCATGAATATATATATATATATATTTTTTTTTTTACACGAGAAAAATCGAACTAGACTGTCGAGGTGGTCTGTTGGTGTGAAGGGATTTGAAGAAATCTTGACGAGTGATTAATTAGCTTTCCACTGACACGTGACATAGAGACGTTGCGGGCATGCGACAATCTCAACTACATTAGAAAAAAACAGGACGGATTCAATTACTGACGCAATTATAATTAGTCTATAGCCCAACACGCCTAGTAGTGATACAAGTAGGTAGACATCTTTGTGGATTGTTTTCGTTTCCCATAAAAAAAAATGCACTCACAGAGATAGATATAGCTGCTTAGTGTGGGGTCACTCGAGAAGAACAGCGTCGTAACAGCTTGATAAAAGAGTTATGTCACGCCCCATTCATTACATAGTGAGCGATAAGTGTCAGCCAACAAAGAACGCCGTCAGTTAGGGTCAAGATCCTGCGCCTCACGTGCAGTCTTAGCGGAAACCGCTGTCTGAGAAGTGCGACTATTCAAATGACTCTGATGAACTTTGAAGGAAACGGAATTAAAAATTCTCTAGAAAATTTTGCTAGTATTCGCAATCTAACACGGCTTTTTGGCTTCAATGAAAAGAAAATAATTGAGCCAGTCGTTAGTTATCGCCGAGATTCGAATTTCAGTCCCCTTGTTCACAATGGAATGCGCAAAACCCAAACAGTTGAGAACAAGAAATATTCAGTATAACCACTGAAGATACTTACCGACGATATAATAGTTGATACGAGAATAAGCAGTTCCATGAATTCTTCGCTCTTCAGTCTTAACATGTTTATTCCCATTGAACGGCCGGGAAAGGTGTCCAGTATTACGTTAAAGTCGGACTATCAACCTGCCGTATGCTCGTAACAACCACGTATTACAGAAAAGGCTAAACTTAGATGGAGTTTTCTCATAAGTTTCCGTTTTGAGGTGCATGTCGGGATAGGGGGCTTTCCCGTTTTCAACATGTTTGAGGTGCATCGTACCATGTTGGGGTTTGAAAAAAAAATGACAAGAAAACTAACGTTCAACAAGTGAAATCGTTACCTAGATCACGAAATCAGTCAGAGATCGAATAGAAAATTGGTATTGATAAAAACAAGAAAAATTTCTTAAGCGAAATATCAGCATTACCGACATGATCGGCTGACAGATTGACTATAAACAGGAAACTGTTATGACGCAAGTTCCATCTTTGCTTTGTGATCGGAATAAGTTATCTTGGAGGCATTTCCGCTCTAAGTACTTGTTTGGCTCTTCGAGAAACCAAGGGAAAAAAAATCAATGAGTAGCCTCCCTTCGCTTCCATCGCATCGAGTTTTGGCTTATTAAGAGTCGTCAGTGCACTTTCTTACAGGCTCGCAATTGATGCCATTGTACAGAGGCTGCGGTATGGTATGTTATTACGCTGCTAGGCGTCACCGTCGCCGCTGTGGCACATGGCCATTTCCGATTCACCCTTGCCTCTTTTTCAAAACGAGGCCTGGTTCTCAACTATTCGTATAAAAATGAGTTTAATTTGCATGTGAATGAAAACTTAAATTCAAATGTGAAAGGGTAAGAACCAGAACTCGCTCTAATAAATTGCCATAGATAATTCGGACATGGGAAAATAAGTTATGAAAACAAAGTCATCGCGCCGTAAATTCATTTCAGAATATATAAGTGAGAACATTAGCTCCTTTGATTAATAATAGACACACGCAGTTTACGAATAAACAAGACTTTGCGAAATTGTTTGTAGCGCAAATTGCAAATGAAATCCCTCTATGTTACAGTTTTGAAACAACATACTCAGTTTGTCCGTCACTTGTTTAATTTTTTTTTCTGAAAATGTAAATCGTATCCTACAAGATGTTTTATAACCTTGTAAAGACGGCTTATCCCTCGACAAAATTATACAAGTTTCATCGCAGTGAAATTCAGCTGAGCAAACAAGCCGCTTGGGCTTGTTAAAGGAAACACACGTCATCTACAAAGTACCATTGTAAGAAGATCAATCTATTTAGCCATCGTTAGACCACGTCTGGGCTATACTGCACAAGTTTCGGTGCCACAGTCTTTATCTTATCTCAAATCTGGGAAAGATACAGAGGCGAGCTAAAAAATGTATCTTGAAATTACAATTCTCGTGCTGTCAGAGTTATGAACCACAACTAAAAACTCTTTCTTTACTACCTATTAGCTATTGGCAGGAGTACTGTAGTGTAGGATTTTACGCCAATAACTAGCAGCGTTAA